CCACTCTGGACTAATGACAATCCGAAGGTGGTTTGGCGTAATAATTTCCAACACAGGTTTTCAGTTAATCTGTGGGCGGGGATTATCGTTAACAAATTAATTGGGCTTGTTGAAATTCCAAATTGGCTAAACGGTGAAGCGTATTTACATTTTTTACAAAATGAATTGTTTAATTTATTGGAAGATGTACCTCTGAATATTAGAGGAAACATAATCTTTCATAGCGATGGAGCTCCAGCTCATAATAGTAGGAATGTGAAAAACTGGTTGAACGAATATTTTCCAGAAAGGTGGATCGGACCAAGCAGTCCCATTGCCTGGCCACCTCGTTCACCTGACCTTAATCCTCAAGATTATTTCTTATGGGGACATTTAAATAGTATCGTTTATAACACCGTAATAGATACGAAAGAAGAATTATTAGAAAAAATAAATTTTGTCTCTAATATGCTAAGGAACAATGAATTTGAAAGTCTTCGTGCTTCCCATGGAATAAGGCGTAGAGCTATGCTGTGCATTCAACAAAATGGCAGTTGTTTTGAGCAATTATTGTAACGTGTTTTTTTAGTTTTTAGTAATTTCTTTATTATCTGATTTATTACAAAACTTCAGTTGACTACTGTGCATATCAGGTTTGTTTCTGTAGTAAATTACTGATAGTTTGCAAACTATTTCTACTACGCATGCACGGATACCAACAGTCTACAAACTGTTTGTGATTTGACCGATGCAAGAATGGTTCCTAAATTTGTAGTTTGAAATGAAGAAGAAGATGGACATGAGATATAACTGAGATATTTTTCGAAAACGAAGCATTTTATTGAAGTAAATCTAGAGTCCATTATTTTTGTAAAAACCCATTTCTATAATCGTTTGATGTTTACATTTGAAAATATTAGAATTATTATCAAATTGATATAAGGTATTTTCAAAATTATTTGGTGGTCATCCTTCACCGTGCAGTTTTCTAAAAGATCGATTCTCCGTTAATCGTCTATGGACCGTAGAAAATATTCTACGTTTAGGTGCCTCCGATTCGGGTATCTCCGTTGGTTTCTCTTGGTGCCGCTAGTGCTCTCCCATTACAAAATCCTTACACAAACTGAATGTCTATTAAAATTATTATTAAAATTCTGCATTTTTTCTTTAAATTTTACTTAATATCCAATACAGCACCGTAATGTAAAAGCAAAAGTTTTAGTTTAACAATATATCAAATTAATTCAAGTAAACAAACGTTTGCTTTCATGGCCTACCTACCTACTCATGTAGGTAGGTAGGTAGGTTCTTGAAATTATATAATAAAACTTTAAAATCGATTTTTCTCGAAAACGAAGCATTTTATCAAAGTAAATCAAGAGTACGTTTTTTTTTTGTGAAAAACTCATATCTATCGTTGTTTGTTGTTTAAATTTGAAAATATTGACATACAAAAAATTGGGGGCCCATTTTACCCGTGAGCCCCCCTGACTAAAATTTATGACCAGCTTTAACGTAGTTCGTTAAAACATTCATTGAGTTAACTGGTCTTGGAAATATTTTGAAAAATATGATCTCCTGAGGCTCCTTTTAGGGGGGTGTAGCTCCTTTAGGAAGCATTTATAGGAAAAAAATAATCTTATTTTTGATTGTAGAATCTACTGCTAAAGTATTGCACACTAATTATGGGACACCCTGTATATGAGCGTTGCCACGTCTCCCAAACATTTTTATTGCCATAACTCTTGTCCCCTATATGACAATGTGTCTTATTGTTTACCCTGTATACTACTTTTTAGTACAAATACAGAGATATATATTAATTATATAATGCAATAGGGCAATATTATTAAATTTTACTGCAATACATTTTTAAGGAATTATACGAAAATACTTTTTATGCATGATTACTGTGACAGTTTTGCATAATTTAGAACAATGTAGTGATTATTAAATGGTATTTTTTCCAAGGTACCTATCTCTATACAATTTTAAACTATGAACTGAATTTTCAATACGGGAATCATTTAAACTACTGATCCAGTCCTTGGATATCACAAGTTGGAGCATATCAAACTCATGTGGCCCATAAAGCACCCACCGAAGAAGAAAACACAGGGAGCTTTAATTTTAGCAGCCAATAATCCGGAAACAAAAGACACTGAGGGCATGTGAGGTTATCTGAAGTTAATGTACTTGAAATTAGGAGTTGCCCCACATTGTTTGCATAGTTCTCTGCCGCCTGTTAAGAGCGATCTCGGATTAACCGTTTCCACACCGGGAGCATATTTGCGATATAGGCTACCACTACATCCATTATACAAAGTGTATCATCCAAACCCGCAAGCGTTATTTATGATTTCCGTGCGCAAACGGCGGAGAAAATTACGCAAAATTTATTGAAACGCGCGATAAGTTCAATTTTGGAAGGTTGAGAGACGTGTCGATAGGAACGCCCTGTATATTTGCACTGAGGTTCGCAAGCGAATCGTACGTGACGAAAAAACCAGAGGCGGATTCAGGACATCGCGTTAAAGTACACATAAAATGTGATAAACAATTTTTTAATTGGCCTCTATAATATCCAAAACAATAGGAGCAATGAATATTTAATTTAACATACAAATGTATAGTCTGTATAATATTTGTTGAGATAGAACTCGAAGGAGAGAATAAGCCAAAAAGTTCGGTGTCAGAACTACTGTAGCAATTTACCGCGGTAGGAGCGTACCTTGAAATTTTCCGCCAATGTTTTTCTACCTCGGGTGTAGAATGCGGTTAATTTCAAGAAAGTGACGCAGAGGTCTTCTTGGAATTCTATCTCCACAAATATCGTACAAGGGTATTCACATAACATTCTCAAATATCTCGTTTACCTTTCTATGTAGGAAAAAACGGTAAAGATAAACGTTTCAGGAAATTTTCTGGCGATCTCAAAGAGATACACAAAAACAATTGAATGTTGAACTTTAGAGATATAAACGATACTGTCAAAGTAAATATAGGTCATGTATATATCACTACAATCAGAAAAATGAAAGAATTTCAACAAGTGACAAATATACACTGTTTCATTTAAGAAAGCACATTTTTTGCTTTATATCTTCGAAATGCAACATTCAATTGTTTTTTACATAAAGTCGGCAAAAAAATTAAGGGAGCAGAAAAATTTACAAATTTTTTTTAATGATCTTTGAAAGGTTTAGTGAATAATAGTCGTATCGAGAAAAAAAGAAACATCTTGAAGCTTGAAGATAGTATTCAAAAAAATAATGCCAAGACATTTTTTTTTAAACTGCCGATGGGCTCAGAAAAATTTGTTTCTGGCTTACTCAATACCAGTGTCATTTAACCTGATTCCTCAGCTTCAATTTGTTTTTTTTTAATTTTCTCTACGATTATTGCTCATTGAGATATCTGCTACCTATTGAGTAAAAAGTCATCTAAGGTGAGTTTTGGAAACTTAAATTAATAATCTTCGAGGGCCATTCGGCATGTTTGATATTTTTTTATACTCAGTATTACCTGATTGGAAAGTGCAAAAAAAATATTTATTCTGCTGTTTTGGAAAATCAACGACCACTTTGCGAATATTGCGAAAAGTACCAATGTTTGTAGGTTTTTGTTTAGCTCAATATATGCCCATAAGGCTCGTAAATTTTGAAATCGATCAGTCGAAGTCAGTCAGTTTTCCTTTCCTGAATCGTCAAAGTTTTTTAAAAAAATTAATGGAGCAGGTTTATTGCTCGTTTTATTGGGTTTTTTCTAACAATTTCGCCTTAAAAAAGTTTTAGTATTTTGGAAAAAAATCAAATTTTTCAAAATTTTCACTCGCTATTATTATTCCAATACAGATGGAATAAAGAGTCTGACTGAAACAAATGGAAATTTTCCGGCTGTTGTTAAATGTTGAGAAGTGGTCCATACAAAATAAAACAAAAAGTTTCAGTCAACTACGTTGTACGCACCTACCTTAACTGCTCTTCGCAGATCCCAAGTAACTACTAGCGATGGACAAAAGATTTTTTATTTTCAATAAAAGTATGTAATTTTCCTCAAGTGTTGTGGTAAAATTGCATTTCTACAAAGAAATTATAAATTTTCTTTCATAATCCTTAACGAACGCTAAGTCCGGTCCTGGAATGTACGATTAACGTGCGGGCCCTATTTATACGACACAAACCTTCGAGAATTTCTTGATTTCCTTTTCTCAATTTTTTATCTAGCAGTACAAACCAATTTTATTGCCTAAAAAGTTATACTGACGTCAAAAACATTTTCAAATACCTCGAATATTCTTCTCAAAATTCACAATTTCCCNATAAACGATACTGTCAAAATAAATATAGGTCATGTATATATCACTACAATCAGAAAAATGAAAGGATTTCAACAAGTGACAAATATACACTGTGTTTCATTTAAGAAAGCACATTTTTTAGTGATCTTTGAGAGGCTGTAACTTCGTGAATAATGGTCGTATCGAGAAAAAAAGAAGCATCTTGAAGCTTGAATATTCTATTTTTTTGAGCATCACTCTCGGCGCAATAAAAAAAATAATGCGAAATAAAAATTGTACAATTTTTTTCCAAAACTGTCGAAGGGCTCAGAAAAATTTTTTCTGGCTTAGTCCGCTGTTTGCACACGGAAAGTATGTAATTTTTTCCAAGTGTTTCTGTTGTAGTCAAATTGCATTTCTATAAAGAAATTATAAATTTTCTTTCATAATCCTTAACGAAAGCTAAGTCCGGTTCTGGAATGTACGATTAACGTGCGGACCTTTTTTAAACGGCACAAACCTCAGAGAATTTCTTCATTTCCTTTTCCAATCTTTGATCTAGCATCACAAACCAGTTTTATTGCCTAAAAAGTTATACTGACGTCAAAAACATTTTCAAATACCTCGAATATTCTTCTCAAAATTCACAATTTCCCTTATCTTTAAATAGTGGAAACATTTCTACATGGACGCCCTATAGGATATCTGGCACGTAGCCATCACGTACTGTTTCCTTTTGCAGACGTCGACGAGTGCTTGGATCGAAACGGGGACTGCGAGCACAACTGCATCAACGAGCGGGGCTCCTACCGCTGCTCCTGCCGACCCGGATACGAATTGCGGCCAGACAACAGGACGTGCGAGCCGCTGGGGGCCGCAGCAGGATCGTCGCAGGAGCAGGCGGCTCACGTAAATCGCTGTTACGCCAACTGCGACAGCGTCGTGCGCTTGAACGAGAAACTCGCTACGGTCCAGGAGAAGGTAGGCGATGATTTAGGAATTTATTAATAATTTATCCGAAAATCAGCAATTAAATGTCCAATAACCAAGTCTATGATGACAGTTTAACTCAATATAAACATACAATGCAAACCAATTGCTTAAAGGAATTTAAAAAATGCTAGTAAAAATGATCTATTTGTATAGGGTCAAGCAAATATTTCTTCTTGACACTAAATCATTTTTTTTTTTGGAAAAACAAATAAATATTCATCAATATTCATAATACAAACTTTTATTAAAACTATGACATATTTTTTTAACAACTTCAATCTTGTCTACATATTTATCAGTCAAAGGGTTTACAGTTTCTAGCTAATGATAATAAAATATTGGAAGGACTACTATCAATGTTATACCTATATGATAATTGGTGAAGGTATATTTTTCTAATATCTTTAAAATAACAAAAGTTGTTCCAATACTTAAAAACGCAAGGTCTTGGGATAGTTATCGCCCTATACATATTATAGATTTTGGTAAAATTATAGAAATGATTTTTAAAAATAGAATAAAATCGTACACAGCAATGATACTAGTGGATCTCACTAAAACTTTCAATTTTGTATAATATTAAAACTCACTTGTAGCTAAATTTAATTATTAAGGAATAAGTTATATCTTCAAATTTATTACAGTCTCATAACATGCATATTTACTTTAAATTCGAATTTTTTTCTCAATTTTTTCGAAAAAAAACCTATTATTTAATTTGTTCTACATAGTAATTATAGCGCTGCTTAAAATATATGTACATATTTAAGGTTAACCCTATATACCTATATGCCTATATGCTTTTAAATCTACTTATTCCACGTGCGAACCGAATTTGTCATCGTCTAGAATTTGTTCTTTGAAGCGACCAAATCAAAGATCAAACAGATCAAATTAATAAAGATTACAATTTTTCTGTTTAAAAACGTCTCAGTTTTTGTTCTTTTTTGTTTTTGTTTATTTTAATTCCAAAGATCAAGATATTGTTTGTACAACATACAATTCTTAATATAGGATACGTCACAGAAAATAATTAAATACAAACATTAATGTTTAAAATATTCATCAACCGAGTAGAAGGCCCAAGGGAGGAGACATTTTTTTAATTATTGTTTGAATTTATTTTATCAATTTATATTTTTAAAATATTTTGGTAGCTTATTAAATATCCGAATAGACATAGACTGAATACCTTTAAAACAGTTATCTGTCCTACACTGTGGCATTCGCAGATCGTCTTTGTACCTTGTATTATGTATATCGATATCTTCTTGTTTTATAAATTCATTTATGTTGTTCTTTAATGGATAACTTCTTGAACTTTCTATCAAATAATCGAATATATTTATTTTCTTGGGTATAAGGTTCTTGTCTGATAGGCCATTAAAAAATGAAGAAATAAATACACCAGAAAACTTTTTACTCTTAACGTTTCGTTCCCGATCAGGAACTTTATCAAAAGATTTTTAATATTCACATGTATTACAAGTCAAATTACATATTTTAATACCTAAAAATATACAAAAACATGCAATTACATTATTATCGAAAACAATTAATTTTGTTTGTACGTACCTAAACAACCATTCCATACAATTGTTAAAATTTAATTGTTAAAAATATAGAGGAGACTTTTTTATTTTGTTTGTCATCTTTCTTTTTTCCTTATTTTAAAATTAGCTTCAATTTGCATTTTAATAGGAAATTTGTTATAAATAATGCTAATTTCGAAAACTTCAATGCCATGAGAAACAAAACGCGATAATTGTACAACTTGCTCTTATCGCGTTTTGTTTCTCATGGCAGTGTCATCGTATCCTCACATCAGCACTGAAGTTTTCGAAATTAACACTATTTATAACAAATTTTATACTTTGTCATAAAGCAGACTGTGTAGTTTTGTTTTTAACAAATCCATGTTGATATGGTGTTCCGAATTTTCTTGACTGCATAACATTTTTTTGTTTTTTGTTTTCTTTTTTTTTAATAAATAAATCAATACATACTAAAAATTTTCTGTTTAAAAATATTTCTCAGTTTTCTTGATTTTAAGACATCAACTGTACAAACGCCCACCTCCCCCAAAGTTCATCTCTAGATCCGTCCCTGCCTATATTATATCATTACTGATTTAATTAGAAAACACAAAAGTAATTTAATGTTTAAATCGTTGAGAAAATTATTCATTAAAGTCATTAGATTAGCAACAAAGGACTGAGGTACTGAAATGTATACACACCGCAGAATAAAAGAACTGTGATTATAAATTACATTTAGCTCTACAATTGTTGGGGTAAACAGAAAATAACACAACCCACTTGTTGGCTAACGCTTGAACTGAACACCGCTGGGTAAAATTAAAAAATGAAAATTTTTATTATCAAAAATTTGCAGCAATCAACAAATAATTTTGCAACTATATTGCAACGAACGTTCCCAACGTTTCTAAAGTACAAAACGCCCCTTCAGGATTTAAAACCGATCTATTTTAAAACTCCTGCATTGTCCGTAATTCCCAGGTCTCCGCCCTGAGTACGGCAATCAAACTGTCGAGCTTCGCCTCCGGCCCTCCAGGTCCCTTGGGCCCCCCAGGACCGCCCGGACCGCCGGGGCCCCGCGGTTTTCCAGGTAAGTCCCACTTTACGCTTTGCCTCTCTCTGAACCGCTTTAATAGTTCATCGCAGGGCGAGAACTTTGATGCCTGCAGCCATTATAATGAACAGTTTTGGAATTGTTAACTTCTTTACGAGCCTAGAGCTAAAGAAATCGATAAAAATATAAAGTGTAAAGCTCTCGGTACAACGGTAATTACTTACAGTACGTAATTTTTTCGTGGGTCGTTTGAAAATCGAAATGAAACATTCAAACTTTGTTTAATGTTGATAAAAGCATGACTAAAAAACATTTTTTACATCTACAGAAATTCATACTTAAAGGGGTCATTCAGTAAATTTTCAAAAATGTTCTTATTTTGTATACACACAGTATTGCTCATGATTAGGCGATCCTTAAAATTTCAACTCAATCCATTGAAAGCTTTTCAAGCTATATGATTTTTAAAATGCGAATATTTGTCTCGCCATGGCAATGCAATGACGTCACCGCATGGGACGGCAAGCCGGCTTGACGCTACTTCTAGATAAGTTTCTGCATCTACAGAATGTTTTGGCGTTTGTGCATATTAAATTTGGAAGCAAATTTCGTAAAAGCAGATTCTTCTAATTTGCCAGAAGTTGGTTTGTTAATTGTTATGGATTTTTTTAATAAAATCCACGACTTTATCAGTGCTGAGTTGAGAGGAGTGAAAATGCAAAGGTTACGTTTCAATAACGCGTAAAGCTTCTTTAAAGTACGTTCGTAGCGAAAGTTTTGATGTTTTTATACAATAAGAATAGTAAATAAGAATAAGAATTTTGCGTTTAATTGGACGAAACCGTTTCTGTCACAGGTTTCAAAGATTTACCTAATCAAATACAAAATTCTTATTACTATTTTTATTCCTATGGAAACTACATAAAAATCTACCTAATATCTTATAAATATATTAATAATATAATATTTATTATGTATTGTTTATATAAATACCACCTATAAGTATTTGTATAATATTCACAAAAAAATCAAAAATGGAAAACACAAGTGTATACACTATACACTTCTAGAGGATTCAAACGTATTTATTACATACCTAAATTACGCAGAGTAGTTTTGTTGCTTTCAAAATAAGTCATTTTTCAAATAAAAGATTTAAAAAAACAAATCAAAGTAGAGACTTGATTTTAGATCCGCACGACAGAATTACGGGGACATTATTATTTTCTTAGGCATCACACTAGTGCTCTCACACTGGGGAACAATACAATATTTGCAATTTTTCAATTTTTTTCTGTTCTGTGTCTTCCATACTACTAACAAAATTCAATAACGTATTCAATCGAAACTTAATAGGCAACTAAAACCCGACTACCCGACTAACTGACAACACACAAGCATGCGGCATCGGTTTCCCATGCGGTGACGTCACAACCGCCGGTTCAACGGATATTCAGCGTGCCAGTTTATGATTTTTTTTTGGATAACTTGTAGGCGATATAAAATTCTAATTTTTTGCAGAGGACCTTAAAATTGCAATATCTTTCCGTTAAGCAAATAAAAAAAAATTGCTGAATGAGCCCATTACTGTATAAAGCAATTTTTTGCTGGGAGCAGTTTTGTTAATTATACAGGGTGTTACACAATGACGGTTTAAAAATTTGTGAGATTGTAGATGATGAAATTCGGATGAAACATTTTGCAATAGGGAACCTAAATGTGAAATAAAATAGGAGGTGTTTGACTTTCTATCACTTAGGTTGCTGCCCAAGTATTATCTTCAACTGCGGGCATGAAATTTGCTGAATCCTAGCGGTTTACAAAATCAAGGAATTGAATTAATTCTTGAAGAAATTGATGAATTTACTGAAAATATTACAAGTACCATTACAAGTCCTATTTTTATTGCAAATAGGTTCAATTCTGTGAATTAATATTGGTTCCAATATTTGAGGTTATTTACTATACTATCTTTACCTTCTACTTATTGTACGACATAAATAAGGTTGAGAATGATATGGAAAGAAATTGCAGCCAGTCTTACAATTCCTTCACGAATTTATTGTTATCAATAATATATGAGTATTAAACATAACGATTAATTGAGGGTCAATTTCTTTGACTGTATAGCAAACTGCTATAACAAACTAAAATGTCCCCTTACCTAGGTCCAGAGTTTGGTCCGTCAAATTCTAATCCTGACTACACGTATTCCATGCTGGATGCATTTGTGCCATTACCGGGTGACGACAATGCCCAGTGCAAGTGCAAGAGAGGCGCCCAAGTAAGTTATTCATAAGCCATAATTCGCTTGCTGTGTCGGAGCTTAAACTACGAACAATACGTCAACTACCAGTTAATGTTTACCTTTAGGCGGTCTTAGAAGGAACAATAACAAGACGGTTTCTGAATAGATGATTTAATTTCGATACATGGTGCATTTTTTAAATACAGGATGATGACACAGGCACACAAAAAAAAATCCAAACCCAAGGTGCCCACATATTTGATGCGCTAAACACGCGTAGTCAAAAGTCATAAATCATAAAAGTTAAATTTTTTGGTGAAAACTTCCAAATATAGATCAAAACTGATTTTTTTTTCTAAATTTTGTCTAAATATATCATTTTCATAGTATTTTGAGGCGCTGAACACGTTGCCCTTGGTAAAATTTACTTATGACCTCGATATTTCTCAGAAAATCTACTATTTGGATGAAATCTGGTCAAAATACTACGAAAATGATATATTTAGACAAAATTTTGAAAAATTCACCTATATTTGGGATTTTCACTTACAAATTTGACATTTCTCCAAAATTTATCGGCAAGTTATGAATTTTGACTAAAAGATCGTTTTCAGCGCATCGAATTCCTTCTGAAATGATTGTAGATCTCTTAGGTTTGGACTTTTTTTATGTGCCTGTGTAATAGAATAAATAACATGGAATCCGTTGTCTTTTTTCACTTTAGACTCATTTAAGTCCAATATACAGGGTGTCCCAATATTCCCTGTAAAAAAATTTTCTTTTGAAGTAATTTTGAAACGCACTCTAAGATTTTATTAAATTTTGGTACAATATTGTTTCCATATAGATGTCACTTTATGACATAGTAAACGAAATAATTGGATTAACATAAAGTCTTTGCTTCAAACGATCAAAACCACTTTTGTTTGTTATTTTATAGTACGTTGTTTTGCAGTAAACTCACTTCAACATTGAGATTTCATATCTCGACGATTCATCGTACCCACAAAATCAAAAGTGGATTTTGTTCGTCAATCCTTCTCCTATTTGATCCTATAATTACATTGGAAGAATACGCAAATACGGTAGCTCCAGTACTAAATGTTGATAAGTATTTTTTCGAAGAAATTTTGAAAAAATTTTAATTGTTGCTAAAACGAATAAAATCGAACATTTTTAAATGGGGATTGATAGTTGAGACTCCAAAGGCTATGTATAAAAATTGCGAGCTCAAAGTAATCATTGGTTTTACCGTGAGAGAGAATTGAAAAATAAGTATAATTCTGTATTTTCTAAATTAACAATTGAATTGTGCGAAATCTACCCGGACGATTTCGATGAAAACATTTCTGCAATACTACCATATCATGAAGTACTCAGAACCATACTTTTTATATGGCTGCTCTAAAGTCAAGGTCCGAGATAAATTCATGAAAAAAACATCTTTTTTACGAATTTTTTTTTTCGGTCTATACTGTATTGCAGCAACAATAATGCACATAACATTTTATAACCACTTTTATTTTGAAGAGAATCTCAAAACGAAACTTTTTGACTTTGACTTTCTTTGACTATTTTCTCTAATGTCAATATTCTCCGAGTCATACATGAAAGAAGAGAGGAAAATGCGCCTTTTTTAATTTTTTTACATTTTCTTGCGCTAAACAATTATGCAGAACTTTTTCAGCGGACGCATATCGTAATTATCATTTTATATAATATTTAAAATTATTTCCAACAAAAATTAGTGTTACTATATAAAACATCCATCCCGAAACAGATACCGACTGGACTACAATTTTTGTCCTAAAATGAAAGGTTTGTTAAAAATTTTCCCTGTTGTAAATTTTTTGTGTTTGCAATAGTACTAAAAAAATAATTTTGTAATCCAAAACTATTACAAACACAAACATTTTCTAAGAGGGAAACATTTTTTACAAACCCGTCGTTTTTTAAGACAAAAAAATAGAAGCTATCGTATCGTATGATCCACAACAAAATTATAAGCAGATTAGACTAAAGGATGAAGAATTTTTAACATTTTGTTAATTTAATTATTTTGTTCGCCATGTCATAAAGAGTAATATTAGTGTACCAAAATTCAATAAAATCTTATAAAGCAAGACAAAAATGAATTTTGCAATGTTTCGTGATTCGTAAATTACATAATTTGCGCATCACGATCTAGTTGCTTTGTCTAATGACAGCAGCTCTGGAGACTGCATCCCGTTGCTGACGTCATGCGCTGTCTGAATGAAACTGAACCAAAGACTATAAACAATGCACGTCGTTACAATTATTATTTTAAAAAAGAGTTAAAGAATTACCTACTTACAGTGAAAGCTGGTATTTGCTACCACTGATAAACTTCTTTTTACTACTCACAAATAGCTCAATCTCAGTTTTATATTTTTATTTTATAACACAATCCTATATAAATCCAAAGATATTGTAAGGTTATGTTTTATTTGCTTAATTTATTGAAAATAGCGATGAACCAACACACAAATTTTTCGTTTGAATCGCTGCTGCTTGAAAGTTTTCTTGAAATCAAACTTTTTTTTAACGTATGACCGGACTATATTCCCCAAAATCGCGTGTCAGTGCCGTACTATACAGGCCACATATCTGACGTGCGGCAAATAAAATCAGTCGGAGCCTTTACCCTTCTGTTGTGATATCAGGTGACGAATTCAATTTTCACGTCAAATATTATTACCGTAGGGCGACATTGGAGCGCCAGGGCCTCGAGGACCTAAAGGTGAACAGGGAGAACGGGGTCTGAAGGGACCGAAAGGGGAGAGGGGTTCGTTCGACATGCTTCTCCTCCTGCTCGCCGACGTGAGACACGACATTGTCCAGCTGCAAAACAGAATCTACAACAATGGAGAAAGGTAAGTTGTTTTTTTTATTATTAGTTCTACTTTCACTTTATTTTAAAAGTTTTCAACTAAAACCAACAAATTCAAAGAATAAATAAATAATAAAATATGTTTTTTTTTTAATAAATTTAATGAAACGGGCAAATATTGGTTAGGTAAAAAAAAAACAATTAATATAATATGCAGTAGCTTCAAAATTTAATTTTTTCTAAAAGGGTGGTTCAGAAAGAGCTCCCATAAATTCAGGGGGTGATAGTACGACAATAAATAATAATTTTTTGTCATATGAACTATATGTCTATCTCCTCTTGTTTTCGAGATACAGAGCGACAAAATAAAATTTTTTAAATAGAATTTTCACGAAAATTTCCAAACGGTGCCAAATATTTTTGTGAAATTTGGTATTCCGGGGTTTTTAAGGAAGCCAAATACGCTGGTCTAATTATTTTTTGGATATTTCATAGAGGGCGCTAGTTACGCTACATTCCTATTACATTTTAGGTTCTATTTTTTTTTAAGTTAGGTTTTTCGGGCTCCAATCTTATAGTTCATAAGACAAAAAATTCTTATTTTTTATCGTACTATCATCCCATGAATTTACGGGAGGTCTTTCTGAAACACCCTGTATAAGTACCTAATTTTATTCTGTTAATATTAATTTATTAATTCCATTTAAAGAAGGCCACTTAAAAACTCAATCTTCAAAATGCAAAAATAGACTTAATACCTTAATAACTTAAAATAAATTAAGAGTTATTTTTCCTATTAATTTCTCGTTATTTCTTAATTTTTTATCTTAATTCATCTACAGGGTGCTTCTAAAATTGTGCCAAACTGAAATCAGGAATTAAGGAATGTAATTTAAAGAAATATTTAAAATGACATTTTATATCTCATGTTTCAGTTTAGCGTCTCTGTTTTTAAACCCTATTAAAATTATTATTAAAAATAATGATATTATTGGAAACTATACTCCGCTGTCGAAATTATAGAGAGTGACTCATATATAATATAAAAACACTATTACCATAATGCGCTCGCTACGCACATCGATAGAATCTATAATCGTCTATAGACTGAGTTATACTGAACGTTGATCTATATTCTATATCTGTCTTTTGCACTTGGTAGGGAATAGGGAAATGCTTTTTTAGTGGGTGTAAACGGACTTGATTTACCCGTCCTGAGAAACGTCATAGCATAAGCGTAGACGAGGGGTCTAATTCCATGGCTATAATAAATTTATAAATTAAAAAAACACAACTGGCACGTTTTAAAATGCTGTAGTAATTAAAATGAATCAAAGTGCCGGTTATAGCAAACCGTAAAAAAATATTAGATGTTATGTTTTATTAACTTTTTTCAATATTTTCTATATTTGTTGCCTTTTACTCAGACACGCCAATGGATTTTCGTGTCCGACACGCTTCATCCCCCTCACTAGTCCAAAAGCTAGCGATGAGTCACTCTCTATAATTTCTACCGCGAAGTTATAGAAAAAAAATTAAGGCGAATTAATACAAACCTTTTCTAAGTTCATCCTTTACTTGCATTTTCTGATGACTAATAAAGTGTTAGATGTTTTATAGAAATGAAAATTTAAAACGGCCTATATCAATTTACATTTTGTGTATGTTGTCGCCATCTCTGGGTATACTATGTAACAAGATTACAGTACAGTTTGTTCTGTGTCTTAAATCATAAATAGCTTGGACATTATTCAATAGATAGCGCCGTAATAGCACAGCTTCTTGCTAAATTTGATTTATATAAAGATATATAAGAGATATGTAAAAACATCAAAACTTTTTGATACCTATACCTATATTATTAATTTGCTTTTCAATCCAATTTCTAATAATAAATCCCCACTTTAAGTAATGTAAAAATGTACTTGCTGATTCAATTACGCTGTCCAATTGGCAATCTGCCAATGGCCTGCTATAATGAGAAAATCACTTTAGGGATTATTAATGTTATTATCTTAAATTCAGCAATAAAGAATATTTTTTATGCAGTGTAGTCTTAATGTTTTCAAGTTCCTTATGGCTGAGTGCAGTGTCGAGGAGTAGGCTTTTCTAATGTTCATATTTTTTTCAGGCCGCCAAAATTCGACTTTGAAGCCGCTTTGGAGAAAAAACGCTTCAAACAGAAACACCGATTCATGCGCCACAAGAAAGTATTAGAGGGTTTTGCCAATCTAACAGTAGAAACGAAGCAATCCCAACAAACCGTAGGTGCTACGACGCAGAGAACTGCCCACGTCACTACGATCCCCTCGGAAGACATAGAAGAATTCCGTGATATGGACTTGACGATTCCCGAAGACCAAATTGAGGATTATTATGATTCTTCGGGAGACATGTCATATGAAGACTATATGTGATACTTTTTAGTTATTTAGGTGATACTGTTATAATACAAGTTTTTTTATGTGCCTTAAGTTAATAGAACAAGCAAAATATTCAAGGGGATCACCACACCATCAAAAAATGTATATGTATTTCGGAAAACTCCCATTTTTTTTCCATTTTTTAATTCAATGTTAATCATATTTCCTACTTTATATTCTATATCTGAATTGAACTACTTTGGAAAAAATCGCAGTTCCACAAGGGGTTCTACAGGAATTCTATGTCGTCTTGGACATTGTCAAGAAGTGGAGTCAATTTTCAAAATAATTTTTTTGCACATTTGTTAATGATGAACTGTAACACCGAATAAATCTTATTTCATAAAATTATGATTGTCAGTAATTTTGCTACGACACCTTGAACCTACCAAAATAGGAAAAAATTATTTTAGTTATGTAGGCAGTTTTGGAATTAATAAATGAAAAGTATAGAAACAAGTATTAAACTTGTGTTCAGCTGTTCAGTCTTCAATATACAGAGTGGGGCATGGAAAACATGCTTACCAAGGGCTTGAAGCACATGAAAAATATAATTACTCCGCCAGTGGTATTGTGTAGATAACAAGTTCCACACTGCGTCGGTATAGTGGGTTGCCTATATAATAAACAATTACAAAATTCAAATTTAGATTTTTATAAATAACAATAACATTTGATAACCTTTGCTATTTTAAATACATTAGTTAGTGTAAATATAACTTCAGCTTTGGAAAGAACAAAAATGATGTGGCTGTTAAAATACGTAAGAAAATAACATTTTATTTTGTAAGCCACTGATTGTTTTTGAGTTTTCAGTATTTATTGGCTTTTTGGGCACAAACGGTGTTAACAAATCAAATCGCAAGAAACGAAGGTATAGAAATGAACAACAAGTGCACCTACAGTGCAAACAAGAGAATATTGAACTGCGTCGAACTGGAAAATGTGGACGAAAATATAGCCCAATTTATTACGTCTAAGACACAAATGTTATTTCTGCGCAATTCCAAAAAAATTATTTTCGGCATAAATCACCATATAAATCCCAACTATTCAAATTTAGTCAGCTACCAGATTTTGAATAGTCAATACTTCTCAGTGAATGCTGGGGCATTTTTGGGACTTCCGAATGTTCAATATATGGAAATCCATGGAAACATTTGGAAAGAAATCAATGACAACATGTTTGTGGGACTGAGAAATTTAGAAGTACTGAATCTGGCAAATAACCAAATAGAAACAGTGAACAGGTATTCCTTTAATCATTTGAGAAAACTGAAAACTTTAGATTTATCAGATAATGCCTTGGAAATAATACCTTCTCACGTTTTTGAGGCTCTTAGCGAGTTGGAGTCTTTATATATTAATAATAACCAAATAAAAATCATTCAAGAAAACTCATTTTTAAATCTTCCCTCGTTAAACTTACTGTACTTGACCAATAATTCTATGGAATATGTCGATACCAATGAATTCAATAAACTTAATAACTTGGAACACCTCAACATCAACTTCAACAAGATTAAGACTATAACCGGCCAGTTGAGTCTTCCCAAACTCAAATTTTTGCAAATTAGCAACAACGAGTTAACAGAGTTAAATAAGGAGGTTTTTGAAAAATGCCCAGAACTGCTGTCGGTGGATTTATCAAAAAATAAACTTGGACATATTACTGAGAAGCCATTTTTAGGATTACACAAATTGAGACATTTGAATTTGTACGACAACTTTATAAATATAGGGAAATTTTCTAATGTAAATAAATATGCCACAATTATTCACAATTCGTGCTTAAATTAGATTATATAACGTAGATCTCCTTAATGTTTTTATGTATATACATATTTTATGAATTAATAAAATTGTGAAATATTAAGCCAAAAAGAAGAAGTAAATTATTTAATTTTTTAGTTATTTAGGAATTAAGTATACATTTACACTGTATAGGTGGATTTTTAAATACTTAAATAGGTACTTATTATTTAATATAAATCCGTCGTTATGAATAACCATCAAAATATAATATTTCAAGTAAATAAACCTTACAACTACTAACTATGACGATCTTGGTAACTTCTGGTTAATTTATTGCTGTTGTGGAAACTGGCCTAAATCACCTATCATACTGTTGGTAATTTTATGTGTTTCGTGGTTGGTTACCTGACAAGGGAAATAACTAGATTTGCCAAACAAACAAAGTAAATAAAGGATTATTTATCACAAGATTTGTATAAACAGTACGTTATTTATTAAATTATAGATTACTATATACCCTAGGCTAGATTTATTTACTTACCTTATTCAAGGAATTATTTTCAATCAGTCTCATTGAACTTAACCTCATTTCTACTTGTCTTATTTACGCAGCATGCATTTAACATATTCATTGATTTTTAGGCGATAATATAAAATATCTAGATGAGGACACATTGAAACTGACGATGGATTCAGCTACAACTCATGCAGTGGTTTTAGATGTCCTTCAAAGGGCGTCTAGCCAAAATCCAGATGAATTTAAACCAGCAGAAGGAAAGCTAAGGGAATGGGAAACACAACCCGGCTTTTACACGGTTTTATTCGTGAGTACATTCCGAGTAGCTTAAATAAGATCATTAAATTTTCTTTTTTCTAGAATATTATTTCCAATCATTCAATGGACGTAAACGTAAGGTGGATGGCAGTTCTTTACATGAAAAATGGAATCGACAAGTACTGGAGGAAAAATGCGCCAAAGTAAGTGTTGGTATTTATTTTGTTTCTGTTACTAATTTTTGTGTTTGTCTAGCGCTATATCAGAAGAAGAAAAGTTGAACATTCGCCACGGGCTACTATGTAATTTCAGTGAGCCCATCAGTCAAATCGCTGTACAACGAGCTGTGCTCGTCTCAAAAGTTGCTCGATTTGACTGGCCTAGAGAGTGGCCCAATTTATTCCCTACTTTATTACAGGCAGTAGAAAGCCCTGACGGTTTAGTTCAGCATAGAGCGCTGTTAACACTGCATCACGTTGTCAAAGCCATTGCTTCAAAGAGACTGGCAGGTAGATGACTATTTTATATATTTAAGGTTTTTGTTGTTACTCTGATTTAACTTTTCAGGTGATAGAAGACTGTTCCAAGAGTTTACCTCAAACATATACACGTTTATTTTGAATCTGTGGAATAACTTCACGGAAGCATTTGTCAGAAATATTATGCAAAATGGCAGCGTTGAAGTCATAACAGGGAACTTGGAAAAAGCTCTGTTGACTTTACGGATTTTGAGGAAATTGACGGTGTTTGGGTTTTACAAACCGGAAGAGAACCAGGACTGCATGTCGTTCATGAAGGTTATTTTTGAGAAAGCCAAGACCGTCTTACAGTGCCGTAAGTACAATTTTTTTTCATTTTTACACCAGAACTCCCCAATAGCAGTCATGAAAGCTCATAAATAAAATAGACCATCATTTTTACAAGTACTTGATTCAGTAAAATAATTTTGTGTATTTTTTTCATGGAAATTTTAATTTCCCGGTTATTTCACTTTGTGTTCTGATAATATGTTCAACCTAAGTTTTCTATTGTGGCAAGCACCTATTTTTGTATCTGCTTATTATGCACAAAAGAGAGATGACCAGTACTGCATAGTTTCATTTCTCGATTTGTCAGTTACCAGCTTTGGTGTTTCCTTTCATGTCATATGTGTGTAAGTGAAATAAACATAGAACAAAAAGGGTACGGAGGTAGTAGTAGACCATCCTTGCCCAAGAAAACAGAATTGTTTAACATAGACTCTAATGTACCTAAATAAAAAGGTACCTGCCATATTGGATATACAGTTGTGGGACTCTGGTATAACATATACTCTCATTCTTCATTTAGGTAAGCAGATCAAAGGGAAAGACACCTACCTCCTGGAACTATGCGAGAAGTTTATTATCCACCTAACGAAAGTTCTTCTCTCTGTTTTGGACACGCACCCCTTCTCTTTCATAGACTTTATCCAGCCTAGTCTAGAGTTTACGGTGTTTTACCTGTTCACAGACGAAGGCATAAACTTTCTGTTTGAACGGTTCATCATACAGTGCTTCAATCTCATCAAAAATATTCTCTTGTGCGTTGAGTATCGAGCAGCCAAGATACCGGAGATGACCAAACACCCCGACACTTTAAAGGCACACCAGATCAAACAAGCGTTTTTCCAACCGCAAACCGTGTCGGATATGTGTCGGAAGTTGGTCGTGCATTATTTTATTTTAACGCAGGACGAGTTGGATATGTGGGATAGCGATCCGGAGGCGTTCTCTAATGACGAGTGTGGCGATAGTTGGAAGTACAGCTTAAGGGTAAGTTTTTAATACTTTTGCAGGGAATTTTGATTTATTATTTTATTTCAGCCTAGCATGGACACAGTATTCGTAACTATCTTCCACGAATACAGGGAGATACTCATACCTGTAATATTAGAGTTAGTCGCAGACACCAATGTTCTTGTTCCTCCAGAGGACATGCAAGGGATTTTACGAAAAGATGCCGTTTACAATGCCGTCGGGCTGTGCGCGTTCGACTTATATGATGAGGTATTGCAAAACACTTTGTTGCGTGTAAAAACTCGGTGTTACATCACAAATTATGCGTTTTAGGTTGACTTTGACCAGTGGTTCACGAACACACTGCTTCAGGAGCTCAAAATAAAACACAACAACTACAGGGTGATTAGGAGGCGAGTGACTGCGCTGATAGGCCGGTGGACCGGTATAAAATTGTCCAGCGAGCTGCGCCCCGCCTTGTACGAGTGTATAATAAATCTACTGGGACCTGACGAAGACATGGCCGTAAGACTGACCGCTGCATCGACGCTGCGCTATGCCATAGACGATTTCGAATTTAATTGTGACCAGTTTAAGGATTATATGTTTTCGGCTTTCAACTTACTGTTCGCCCTTTTGAGGGAAGCCGTTGAGTGCGAGACAAAGGTAAGCAGCGATATATGTTCAAGATATTAATTAAACAATGAGACAGTATTTATTTTTTACCAAGAAAGGAAATTCTTTAAAGATTTCAATTCCAAAGGCAACAAGTTATAAGAATTATCGCGATTATCCCACTTCTGATTCATTGGTGATTATCCCACTTCTGATCTGCTTCTTGCGATACTTTTTAGATGCAAGTGCTGAACGTTATGACCCTGCTCCTGGAACGTATGGGAAATACGATCCAGCCCCATTCCGAGTCCCTTATCCAGTACCTGCCCCACCTGTGGCAGGAATCGGAAGACCACAACATGCTACGTTGTGCCATAGTGGCCACGTTGGTTCAGTTAGTGAAAGCATTGGGAGGTGTTAAACCAGAATTAAACCCCTTTCTTCTGCCCATAATTCAACTGGGTACCGACATAAGGCAGAACGCGATTGTGTATTTACTGGAAGATTCTCTGGATTTGTGGTTGGCTGTGTTGGAATATTCCACGACCATGACTAATGAGCTGATGCAGTTGTTTAATAACATGCCGCCATTGCTGGGTGAGTAGATATTGGGCGACTTTTATTACAGCGGTTTTTTTTTTTGGATCTTTGTAGAATATTCAACTGAAAACTTCCGAGCCTGTCTGCTGATATCCCTGGTCCACGTACTTTTGGCGCCCGAGCTGGTCATGCGGACGCAAGGGGCGCAAATCATTCAAGTCTGTGATGGCCTGATGGCAGATTTAAAGAACGAGGGTATCGTTATGCTGATGAAGCTGGTGGAGACGTTTATTAGGGCCGTGCCCGTGTTGGGGACTGAAACCGCCATGCCGATTCTGCCCAGGATATTTCAGTGAGTAGAACTATTTTTACAGTGTTTACTTTTTTTGCAGAATTAGCTCCCAATATGTATTACATTTAAAATTTAAATTTATATTCTTAAAAAATTTCCTGAGTACTTAAGATAATTCATATGTTACACTTCTTAAAATCAATTCAAGTACTAACATTTTAAGTACAACAATAGATTTTATTTATATAAAACTAACATTTGTTTCTTTAAATTTAATACCTGTTTGCTTCGGCTGTATTTCTTTTTGTTAAAATGGCGGAGAGTAGTTTTCTCAGTGTAGTTTTATTTTAAATGTAAAATAAACAGAATTATTTGTGTATTTTGACAAAAGGGTATCAGCGTTTTTGCTGTTTGGGAATTTTATCAATCTATGACAGCTTGAAAGAAACACACCTTTTAATTTTAACTAGATTTATTCACAATGAAAATCTTAAAACTTTTACAAACAAAAATCGTGTCAATTTTTCTACCCACTACTAAATGACTGGAAATATAATAATAAAAAAATAAAAAAAAAAGAAATGTATGATTTATGAACGGCGCTAAAAGGAGAACATTCTACAATAATAAACAGATTAAAAAACTACGGTTTTAAATGGTGTTGAAAAGAAAACAAATTTTATGTCGGTCCCCATTGGTTCTGTAACAAAAATAAAACAACTGTTTATGGCTTAATTTACACCCAGGTTTGTGGTTTAATTAATGGTAATGCGGTCCAGATGAGGTGTTTATCAAGTTTGAGATCTTGATCTAAATAATTTTCTTGGCACATGACTTGGTAAACTCGTAATTTCTTGGCATGCAGGCATAAATAATTATTTTCCTTTTGGACAGTGATGCTCAAAGTGTTTGAAAAATATAATATCTACGTAAATATTCCTAATTTTGAAAATTAAAATTTTTTAGCCTATATGTTCCAGTACATTTATTTATCGATATACTGACATTTTATGTTTTTTTCCGAAAACTTCTTTATTTTCTGTTCAAAATCCTTGCTTCTCCTGTAAAATTATGTTATTGTGGGTTACTGGCGTTTGCATTTTAAACGACCATATATTTTGGTTGCCGCTCCCGTTGATAAGTGGTTGTGTTTTTAGGAAAATATATCAGGGCGAAGACTATCAGATGGTAATGTCGATGTACTTGTGCATCTTGTCTAGGGTTTTACTGTCATCTCACGATATATTCACGAGGGTGTTGAGTAACATTGCGCAGAGCCACAACGAGACTGATGAGTCCACCCTCGGGCAGATCATGGACGTCTGGCTGGATAAAATGAGGAACGTTTCGCAGCTTGATCAGAGGAAACTATTAGGTGAATACTTTTTTTGAACAAACGTCGATTTTGATCAACCTTTTTTTTAGGATTGGCTTTATCGAATCTGCTCACGACGCAAAGTCGGCCGATCTTGGAACGATTCGGTTTAATCATGCTGAATATTTTGGAATCCTTAAACGACATCACCAAGACGGAGGAGAATGGTGCCATGATAGATTCCCTCGTGCTAACTGAAGGGCAGAGTCCCAGCCACTTCGATGAGGACGGGGACGGGTACTACGAAACGGACCATGATCAGAGGAAGAAGCAGCTTATACTTTCCGACCCCGTGCATACCATCGTACTGAAGGATTATCTCCAGTCACAGGTGAGTTGTTTGGGTTGTAACTTTGAATGGGGGTCAGTTTTTTATGGGTAATAGTATGTGTTGAGTTGTAATCTGTTTTTTAAACTACACTTAAATTCGTCTACGCCGTCACTGGACAGCACCTGAACTCGGGTGTATGTGCACGCTTGTCAGTGTTGCTTGTCATTACATTTTTAAACGAGCTGTGTATGGTAGCGGAAAGTGAAATTATAATGGGAAATAATTTTTGTGACGTGTTGTTTTAAAGTCACCATATTTATTTTTTACGAAACTTCAAACATCAAAAACCTTTTCAAGTGTTCTTAAGAAAATTATATTTTATTGCTGATTCATTAAATATTAACTAATAAATGTCTTACTAATTGTAAAACAAATTTGTGTTTTAATTAAGATAATTTATTTTTCCTGTCTTTTAAAATGTCCGAAATAAAAATAAACAAAAATATTTACTAAAACAATAAAATTGAAATAATTTTTAAAATCATTTCAAGTTTTTAAAAAGGTGTTGCTAATTCGTTTTTGAAACACTGTGTTTAGTTTGTGAAGCAATGACATGGGTTAGTGGCCCAGGAAATGAAAAAAAAAATTTGTTTCAGATTGACACTTGGTTTAACTGTTAGTTTAGGCAAAAATAAATAATATTTTGCAAAAAGTATCGGTTTAAAACAATAAGATCATTGTTTATACAATGATTTGAGTTTGAATGATTTTTAGGTGTATTAAAAAGCGCTCTCAACAGGAGTTTTTGCTTTTGTTTATACTTATAAGTTTTCAAAAAACGCTTCATTTGAGACTTGCTAAATTAAAATCCATTAACAATTTGTTTAAATGCAGAAAATTTGCGAAATTTGAATTTGCTATAAATAGAAGAATAACGCATAAATTGTCTCTAAGCTGCAGTAAAAGTTGTATTTTGTTATGCTTAAGAAACCTTGAAAATTTGGTAAAAAAATATTCATTTGTTTACGAGTTTTTACATTTGCTTATTAGAAATAACATTTTTTCAATTGCAAAAACGCAGTTGTTAGCATTATAATAAAGGGCCTTATGAGGGCTCATTTGTTTCGTCTTGACTTGTATTTTCAAGATATGTAATTGGAAATTGTAATTTCATAGGCTAACCTCCTCAAAACGGCGTATAAACAAATTACATAGAAATAGCATTTTTTCAATTGCAAGAACGCGGTTGTTAGCGTTATAATAAAGGGCCTTATGAGGGCTCATTTGTTTCGTCTTGACTTGTATTTTCAAGATATGCAATTGGAAATTGTAATTTCATAGGCTAACCTCCTCAAAACGGCGTATAAACAAATAGTGTAATTTGTTTATAAGGTTTTTCGTTAATAACTGCGAAGAATGAATATTTTTTAAAGCCGCTTTGATATTCATAATCCTGGTATTTTTTCACGAATTTAAAAAAAAAAATTGTTCTAGGACCATTTTTAGGCGACACAGCGTTTTTTTTTTAAATTCATAACTTGTTTATTTATAAATTTCGGGACTAAATCAATCAACCCTTAAACTCCATAATAACGGTTAAAGATATCGAAAAAATGCATTTTATAGTAATTTTTAACCCTTTAAAAAACGTCGAATACATTTTCATACCCGGAATGTGGTTGGGGAAATAAGACAGAAACGTTCCGAGACTTCAAATCTTAACTGCCCGAAAATTTTGCAATATCTCCGGTAATTGTGGACCAATTTTAACGTTTTTTTAATCTGGGGCAGCGCATGAAAATAATAACAAATGCACGGTCCATTTTGCAATCATTAATTATTAATTTGTTATAAACTACTAATTTTGTAAAAAAAAATTTTTTTCACATTTTTTTGAGAAATAATTTTTCACAATGGTACCAATAAACAATTTTCTTAAAAAACAATATTTTGTGGTAAGAAAAAATCAGGAAATGACATATTTTTCATGTATAAAGAAAGTTTATTTTAATGACAATTGAGTGTTTTAATTTACTTACCTGTTTTAAAATATAATATGTAATTTAATGTTAAAAAATAATATTATGCATATTACATACAAAAACTCGATTCTCATTAAAATAAACTTTATACATAAAATATGTCATTTCCTGAATTTTTTTACACAAAAATATTGTTTTTTAAGAAAATTGTTTATTGGTACCATTGTGAAAAATTATATCTCGAAAAAATGCGAAAAAAATTTTTTTTTACAAAATTAGTAGTTTATAACAAATTAATAATTAATTATTGCAAAATGGACTGTGCAGTTGTTATTATGTTCATGCGCTACCCCAGATTAAACAAAAAAACATTAAAATTGGTCCACAATTACCTAAGATATTGCAAAATTTTCGGGCAGTTAAGATTTGAAGTCTCGGAACGTTTCAGTCTTATTTCCCCAACCACATTCCGGGTATGAAAATGTATTCGACGTTTTTTAAAGGGTTAAAAACTACTATAAAATGCATTTTTTCGATATCTTTAACCGTTATTATGGAGTTTAAGGGTTGATTGATTTATTCCCGAAATTTATAAATAAACAAGTTATGAATTTAAAAAAAAACGCTGTGTCGGCTAAAAATGGTCCTAGAACAATTTTTTTTTTAAATTCGTGAAAAATTACCAGGTTACGAATATCAAAGCGGCTTTAAAAAATATTCATTCTTTGCAGTTATTAACGAAAAACCTTATAAACAAATTACACTATTTGTTTATACGCCATTTTGAGAAGGTTAGCCTATGAAATTACAATTTCCAATTGCATATCTTGAATATATCATAAGGCCCTTTATTATAACGTTAACAACCGCGTTTTTGCAATTGAAGAAGTACTATTTCTAATAAACTAATGCAAAAACTCGTAAACAAATAAATATTTTTTTACCAAATTTTCAGGGTTTCTTAAGCGTAACAAAATACTGCAGTTTAGAGATGATTTATGCTTTTTTCTTCTATTTATAGCAAATTCAAATTTCGCTGGTTTTTTGCAATTATAGAAACAAATTGTTAATGGATTTTAATTTAGCAAGTCTCCAATGAAGCGTTTTTTGAAAACAAAAGCAAAAACTCCTGTTGGAGAGCACTTTTTAATACAGCTAAAACACTCAATTTTTGGTAATTTTATTGTTTAAACAATGATCTTGTTGTTTTAAACCGATACTTTTTAGGAAATATTATTTGTTTTTGCCTAAACTAACGATTAAACCAAGTTTCAATCTGAAACGAACTACCTTTTGATTTACATATATTACAAATTTCATTTACTGGGCTATAATATCAACCCACCTGATGTGATATGACAATGCGCCAGGCAGGCAAAAACAAACCCCCTTCAAAGTTATACCCTGTATATGTTTGTTTTTGTGTTATAATAACAATTATGCTTCTAGATGTTCGAACTGAGAAACCAGGTGGGTCTGCAGCAGTACCAGCAGCTGCTGCAGGCGGTAGACGCGGACACAATATCGCAAATTAAGGATTATATCACATTGTAATTAGGGAGTAACGAGAATCACATATGTATATTATAATCATCATATTTCTACGATTATTTGGTCGAATGTACTGTGTTAAATACTTCATCGTGAGTTCTGTCCCACTTCTGATCCGGTGGTTTTGTAAAATGATTGGTTTTCTCCTCATTAAATTTGAGATGGAACAGTGTTTTTAAGTAATTTTATTCTTTTAGTTGTTGAGTTTCGAACCTATAAATCAGAAGCGGGATGTGCTTTGACGATTAACAATACATAACAATAACAATATTAGCTTATTTTTTTAAGCGAGGCATGCTCTATCCTTTTTGAGACAAATTTCTGTTGATATTCAGCACTGGTGTGTTTTTAATCGTGGGAGAATTATGTAACTGTGTGTGAGGTTAAGTGCTTCTGAATATTAGCAAAGGGTTCGTCTCTGTAGCGTTTATTTAGGGTTTTATTAGAAATTATTTATATTTTTGTAATGCTACTAAAATAACTAATATTAAACTATCTAGTTTTAGAGTGTACTGTAATATATTGTTAATTGAACAGTTCTTGTGAGGAGCGAGGAAATACTGTGTATTTTTTATATAAGTTTGATTTGTAGGGAGAAATTGTATGTACCATCTTTTTAAATTTACTTTCCTGAGGTTACTGCAGGTTATTACAATCCATATATTTATTGCGTTATATATTTAAAGGCTGTTACGAAAACCAGTGTTTTATTCCAACGTTTTTTCTAGATCTTACCAAAAGTTCGGTTGTGAACAATATTTGATCAAAAATACTGAAATATAAGATAGTTCCCATTTCCTATTTCTTAAAAATAGACATTTTAAATATTTTTGATGAATTAATTGTTAATTTAAATAATATAGTTTATGTTACGAATATGCCAATAGTATGTCAAGAAATCAAACTGTTTATTTGAAAATGGAAGAAAGTTATTCAAAATTTGAAATATTAATAATAAATACTGATTTAGGATTTCAATTTTCTCGACTTTTTCTTAGTTTAATACTCAGAGTAATAAGTTTATTACTATTTCCTATAAGGTTTTAATATAACTTATTTCAAATAGTAATAATATTAATGATAGTATGCAGCGCCATCTATGCATAAACAGCTCAATTAGCTGGCTAGTTCATGAGTGACCATTGCAGGGGGCTATCTGCTAAATAATTCTCACGTAGTTCAGTGCAGTTTCTGTCCGATAGATGGCAGAGCCTGAAAATTCGGATCGGGATTCTTATAGTGCACCCGATTTTGTTCAGATTTTCCTGAGCCCTAAAAGTATTTGAGAAAAATTGAGCCATATGGTAGGAATATGCCAGTAGTATGTCACGAAATGAAACTGTTTATTTGAATATGGAAAATTAGTATACAGCGCCATCTATACATAAAGAGCTGAATTAACTGACCAATAAATGAGTAGCGGATACAGTTGACTACCCGCTAAAGAATTCTCCCTCAGTTCAGCGCAGCTTCTCGGCGATAGATGTCAGGGCATCAATCGACATAATGTGAGCGTGATTCTTATAGTGAACCCGATTTTTTTCAGATTTACCTGAGCCCTAAAACTATTTGAGAAAAATTGAGCCATATGGTAGGAATATGCCAGTAGTAAATCACGAAATAAAACTATTTATTTGAATATGGAAGATTAGCATGCAGTGCCATCTATACATAAAGAGCTGAATTAACTTACCAGTAAATGAGTAGCGGATACAGTTGACTACCCGCTAAAGAATTCTCCCTCAGTTCAGTGCAGCTTCTCGGCGATAGATGTCAGGGCATCAATCGACATAATGTGAGCGTGACACTTCACTGATTGGAAAAATATATTTCTATTAGCACGAAATTTGTCACAAAATTAAAGTCCACCCGAATTTATTAAAATCTTTCGGAGCCCTAAAACTTTTTGAGAAAACCGTTGGTCCATGAAAATGTCAAAAAATTAAAGTGCCCTCTAGGTGAAGTTCTACGCAATTGAGGGCACTAAAAATGCTGAGATGGTCGGTTTTTGTGCGTGATTTCATTAAGGAAAGAAAATAAATCGAAAATCTCGAAAACTGGATTAGCAAGAAAAGAACTGACTACAGTTTATACTCTTATAGTGCACCCGTTTTTTTCTGAGCTCCAGAACTATTTGAGAAAAATCGAGGGATATGTTACCAATAGGTAATATGTTACGAAATCAAACTATTTATTTTTTATTTGAAAATGGAGGAAATATACTGAAAATTTGAAATTTAATTTTAACAATAAAAACTGATATAGGATTTCAATTTTCTTACTGTTTTTCTTAGTTTAAACATAATATATTATATAATATTATATTTCAAATATTAATGGTAGCATGCTGCGCCATCTATGTATAAAGTTCTCAATTATCTGACCAGCAAATGAGTAGCCATTACAGCTGGCTTCCTGCTAAAGAATTCTCCCGTAGTTCAGTGCAGTTTCTGAGCGACAGATGGCGGAGTCTGAAAATTCGGAATCGGAATCATTTAACTCAGTTTTGTCAATCGACATATGTGTTGATTGATTGATGATTGACTGATTGAAAAACTGATTGGAAAGTAGTATTTCTAATAGCACGAAATTTGTCAAAAAATTAAAGTGCCCTTCTCAAGGCACGCAACTGGATCGCTGAACGCTGAACACGCTAGGATAGTCAGTTTTTGTGCAAGTGCTTCCCTAATGAAATGAATCGAAAATCTCAACTGGAAGAGCTAGAGGCTAGAGGGGAACTGACTGCTGTTTTGGATTCATTAAGGCCGTTATAATTCGTTGTAATTTTTTCATATTTTTTGGAGTCCTAAAACTATTTCAGAAAAAAAAGTGTATAGTGTACTTGTAACAGCTAGATGAGCGAAACTGACTGCAGGTTTGGATTATTCCGAGCTCTAAAATTTTTTGAGATAAATCAAGGAATATGTCATAAATATGCCAATCCAGTAGTACCTATTTCAAGTTGCACTTACCATTAACAAAAGTATATTTCATTTACAGTTAAAATCATTAAGAAAAGAGAGTAGACACAACACAATGTGAAATGGGATTTAATAGTGTTTATATCAAAATCTCTTAGATCATGATAGTCCCTAGCACATGTTCCGATAGGTTTATATTTCTATTTCGTAAATTAATAAATCAATGAGTAAAAACTTCTATAGATCGATGTTTACAAATGCACATGCTTTTTTCTTTTATTACTTTTGAGATGGGAATTATTAGAGAAATTTGTCAGTAGCTTTTTTTAGTTTGCAATGACTAACTTTCATTTTTATGTACTCTTTTTATTTCATTGAATCACCGATCTGGAATTTTAGTTTACTTTAAAACTAGGAAATACAAAACAAATAAAACAAGTAATAAATCTGATACTACTGTTAGTTTATTTGCACAGCTTTATTTCGTTAGATATATTTACATAATGTTATTTTTATTTAAGTTAACAGTTATTACATATACATACTCGACAAAAAAAATACAATAAAATTCACAGGTTCAGTAAAATTATATAAATCAATAATAATAATAAAAAACAATTCGAGGTACAATCGTAAAAAAATATTTTATTGAAATGTAAAAAAATACTTATAAAAATAAATACTTTTAAATAATAAAAAAATTACACATTTAAGTAGATTGAATAAATAGGTGTATGTATAAAATGAGTATTTACAAAATTTAATTCTACCTCAATTTTTATTCCGTACTAGGGTACGGATACGTGTTCCACATTTCAATAAAATTCGACTTCATTTTTAAGCTTATATCTACAAATGAATCAGTACTTTTGAAGGTAACCATACAAGTATTAATACTAAGATTCAGTTATACGCTGCGCAAGTTATGAGTATTTTGTGTATGCATCTTAGCCGAGTTCTTGCATATATTTTTTTCAGAGATTTGGCACAGTAATTCCACATCGAAGGCATTCCCAAACACGCAACATTACATAATGTCCCAAAACCACCGCACAACATAATGTACCTACGTATATACATATTTTATTTGAAAATACATCAACTGTATTGCAAATATTCCTATTTTGAAATGGTTTTCAGAAATTTTATTTTTTCTTCGAATTTCACCCTTATAATATCTACAGTGTGTCCCAGGATTATATCCTAAAGAAAATGGATTTTTTTTTAATTTCTGAGTCATTATAAATATTCCTACTTTCCCATTTTCTCACTTTTATACACAAGGTGATTATGAATTATTACTAAGACGAACAGTTGCAAATATGAAATTTCGTTTTTTTTTTTTGTAAAAGGACTGCCATTTAATATGAGTCGGATGGCCCGAACACACTTATGACTCCCGTAATTAAACCAGAAACTGATTAACAAAGGATGATTAATTTAAATCGACTGAATTCAGGTCTGCATGTTCCAGTAGGTCATAAAATTTTACAGTTACCGTTATAATACCACGAAAGATTTAATAAAATCACTCTAAATAAAAATAAAATACATAATCCAGTAACGGAACAGAAAAAAGTCAATAAAATCTTATCATCTCTTAGAAGTGTCGATCTGAATTCAATGAATTTTTATTATCATTGTTTGTTAAGTAATTTCTGATATAATTACGAGAATCATAAATATATCTGAGCCAAGTGATATGAAGGTAATTGTTTGTTTTCCAAACAATTGAAATTACTACAAATATTTCTTAGCAGGGTGTGTATCAAATTTTCACAAAAAATCCAATGTTTCCAGGATTTGAAAAATTTTCCAGGCACAAATGGAATAAGCCTACCATTTTTCAAACATTGCCATTTTTTTTCTGTATTTTCCAAAAATATTTAAACATATGAGTATTTCCAAAAATATACATTTGCTGCCAAATAGTTATCACTTTGGTTTTCACTTGTTGAGAAACATTTTTAGATAAAATAAAAAAATTGTAATAATTTTAGCTTGTCTGAGTACCAAGTTAGGGTAGTCTTGATATGTTGGAGTTTCGGAGAATATTTTAATCAGTATAAGTATATTTATTTTTTTTTTTCATGGCAAAATATTAAAATAAACAGAACAAATAACTGAAACAAACCCATAAGCGACTTTAGACAATTAGAAATATTTTAATTGTGCAATTTCAGGCGCCCAGCATATGATAAAAACGGAATTAATAAAGTTGACAATAAAGGCTCTAGATTGAAAAAGTACTTGAAAATTTTCATATAAAATGGAACATAGACTCCAATTTTGATATAAAAGGCTGTTAAATATGGAAAAATGGAAATAATAGTAAATATGCGGCGGAATATTCAGAAATGTCAAACTAAGTGTCATTTGTCAAATCGCCATTTTCAGGTAAAACGCGGTAGTTGGAGTTTATCAAAATATGTAGTGACACCTAGCGGCAGCAATTTGAAAATAAATGGATATAATTCTGTACCTTAGAGCGAACATGGGTTAAGTCCATTTTTTTTGTAAATTCGGTTTTTAGGTTAAGTGCCATATTTATAACTCTATTTCTTATGACTGGTTTAAATCCATAGAAAGCCCTATAAATAAATATAATAAATATATCGTTTTCACAAAAAGGTTAAGTCACACCACTAAAGCGGGCTGCAATGGTTTTGTATTACTATGGAAATGAAAAAGGTTTTTGGACTTAATTCCTGTTCGCTCTAAGGCGTAAGGTATATAATTGGAATTTTAAAAAATGCCTCGAAAGATTGAGGTACTTTGCTCGTCCCTTTTAAATTTTTTAAAAAATAGGATACTTTTTTTTTTAATTGGATAGCCTGTATGTATAAAATCAAGAAAGTCGTAAAAATTTTGAGGACAAGCGGAAATCTTCAGACAAAACTTTACATTTACTCATATTTATTAGGTATCTTATAGGAGCGAGTATTTTATTTCGGATCGAGAATATATGAATTAACTTTGAGCAGCTTATTTGACAGTTACTATTAAATAATGATGTTAGAAACGTCAAACGAAATGTCATTTGTCAAACCGCCATTTTGAGGCAAAACGGGAGCAACGGTTGTAGTACTTTGTCAATCTATGGAGGTCAGTTATCACAATAATTTAGTGACACCTAGCTGTAACACCCTCAAAATAAAGACGAATACAATTGGAATTATAAAAAATGGTTCGAAAGATTGGGGTACTTGGTAAAAATTTTCCTAAAAATTGAATACCAATTTTTATATAGACATAAAATCAAGAATGTCGTAAAATTTTGGGGACAAGCGGAAATATTTATGCAAAACGACACTTTTTCATAAGTAGTTACTTGAATATTAGTAGAAATTTTTTTTCATGTAAATGGTATATACGCTTCAGGTTTGATAGTCTTTTAATATAATTGGCTGGTAAATATGGAAAAATGTAGAGAATCGTTTAATATACAGCGGAATATTTAGAAACGTCAAACGAAGTGTCATTTGCCAAACTGCCATTCTGAGGCAAAACGGTTGCGGTACTTGGTCAATCTAGGGAGATTAGTTATCAGAATAATTTAGTGACATCTAGTGGTAGCACTTTGAAGATAAAGACGGATATAACTACAATTTTAAAAATGTTTAGAAAAATTGGCGTACTTGGCTTGTCTTTTTAAAAATTGAACACCCTGCATATAAAACCAATAAAGGACAAGCGGAAATCTTTATAAAAAATTACGTTTTCTTTTCGTAAGTTTGCAAATGTTTTTTTTTTTTTCAGGCGACAATCGTGGGACACACTGTATATATCTGTTTAATTTGTTACTGAATTTTATATAGGCGCTATTCGAATAATGAATGACTCAGTCAGTCAGATGTGGACTTGCCTATATTCGGGAGAGCCTAGCGTGATTATAGAGGGACATAAATATAACGAGTACGTTTCCAGCCTAAGTACAACCACTTCATTGGAATAAACATGTCGGGGAAACCGCCCGCGTAAGTACAGCACTAGAATACCGCCGCAAAGTGTCTAAAACGCTTAAGAAAGGCTGGCGTAACATTAGAGTTAGTAAGTAGTACATTTACTCGACGTACTTATACTTAGAGGAGTCATTAAGAAGCATATTAGAGTACATTTTTCAGATTACCTAGTAGATCAAGTCTTGTTTCATTACATCTTAAGTCATCGCCTGGTCGGATTCCTAGCTACAGACTAGAAACAAAAAGTACATAATACTTTCGTAAAAAAATACACAAATATCAACAGAACAGAACAGAACACACTATGGAATGTCTCAATACAATAGATTTCACTTAAACCGTCGTCCGCGCGGGTGGGGACAAATTAACTGTCTAACGGCAAACTCAACACTTAACATAATAAAAGTCACTGAATATCTCCTTTGGTATTAACGTGGAAGCGGCGGCGGCTCATCGCTCGTCGTCGTTTTTCCTTTTGTGCTTGACCTTGTTGCGCTTCTTCTTGTTGGGCGTCACGACGCAGCTGCAGCCGCTCCGCACGCTGATGTAGTCCAGGGTGTAGGTCGCGTCGTCCGAGCCGTGCGCCGGGAACGTGGGGAAGTTCCTGTTCCGGTTGCTGGGCTTGTCCTTCACCAGGGCGTAGGTGTAGCTGTGCTGCTGCACGCACCTCGACTGGTTGTGCAGCTTCCTGTCCATGAACCGGCACGGTTTGTTCAGTATGTCCTTGTGGCAGGATAGCTCGTAGAACCTGGAAAGGTATCGCGTAAAATAACAACTGTGATATGGTTACCAGTTTTTGACCCAATAGTCGTTCGAGAAATCGTCAAAATTCGTCAAATTTAAAGCAAAACTTATACGAGGTTTGATCAAAATGTAACGGGAATTTTCATATTGCACGTGTTGTATCTTGTCAATCGAGTTAACTCTTATTTGGTGTATTGGTAGTACCATCAGTAATGTACCTATCAAATTTTAGGCAACTGTCTTTGTTTAGCGAGCGAATGAGTAAGACTTGCCTCACCGTTTTTGAAGATTATTTGTGTGGCGAAACGTCGGATCAGAGAGTTTGTCTCACATTTTACGTTGAAAACTGAATTAAATTGAAAATGTTTACCTTTACCAATGGTAGGGTCAAATATTTTCAGGAAAGCCAAGAAGCGAGATCTAGTCAAATGTGAAAGTCCTTCTAACCGTTTTCTTCGATTACAATGGAATACTTTATCAAAAATTTTACTGTCTGGTCCTATAGTTAGCAAGGAATACTACCTACAAGTTTTGCGTAATTTGCGTGAGGCAATCAGGAGATAACGGCAAGAACACGTGAACGCACCGCGCACAGTGGTCAAAAATGGAAACAACTCGAGTCACGCAGGAGGTTAGATGGTATATAGCAATAAATGTTTCTTTAATTACATTAAAAAGTCATATATTTTATGCTGGAAGTGCTGAAAATATAAAATTGGACAAGTTTTTTTTTAAACAGGAAAAAAGCCATTGAATAACCCACAAATCTAATAATCTATAAATCCAATAAACCCAATAATACCAGAAAAACATAAACCCGATAACCCATAAACCCACAATTCCTAAGATCGCTAAACACCTAAAGCCTAAAGCCTATAACAATGTAAACCCTAAAACCTATAAACTCCGAAACCCTCATTAACACCAAAACCCATCAATCCCAAAATCCATTAAGTCCAAAGCTCAAAAGCCCCAAAATCCATGAACCTTGAAATCTACAGATTCCAAAATTCATGGTCTACAAAATCCACAGACAGGATTTAGGTGTTTATGGGTTAGGTTTAGATTTTTTGAATTTTAGGGTTTAGGCATTTATGGGTCTAAGGGTTATCGGTTTTAGGATTTAGGCGTTTATGAGTTTTAGGGTTCAGCTGTTTGTGGTTTTTAGAGTTTACCTATGTGTTTATGGGTTTTAGAGTTTTTGTTTTTACGGGTTTATGTCATTAGTTTTATGTTTTTCGGTTATTAGGTGAATGGGATATTGGATTTATTGGTTTTATGGATCATTAGAGTTGTGGGTTTAGGTTTTTCCCGTTTTAAAGAAAAGCTTTGCTAAATTTTATATTTTGTTTCCATTTTTGCCCACTGTGCGGCGCATACCGCTGTACGTATCCAACAGTTTTTGGCGAACCACCCTGTTCTCCGGACATGGCCCCTGTGACTTTTTCCTATTTCCCAAACTTAAAAGGATACTCAAATGAAAATGTTTTTCAACAATAAATGAGACAAAGACAAAATCGCAAACAGTGCTCAAGGCATTCCTCCAGTGTTCACAGGGGTACTACTTTGAGGGGGATAAACATTGAAGATTAAATAAATTATACTTTCTGAGAAAATAATAGTTCCCGCTACTTTTTATTCAAACCTCGCATAATCTAAATCAGTCACAGTAACAGAAGTAATATAATTCAAGTATTGGGGTCACAGAAATTTTAAATTATAATTTTTTATTAAAAGTTGGAGAGACACACTTGTCGACTAGATTATTCATCAGTTAAAATAAAATTATATAAAACTGCGTAGAATGTAAATAGTATATTATAAAGGATAACACTGACTACGTTTATCTCACTGGTTTCTATCCTCACTAACAGAGATAAGTGGATTGATATATAGCAAATAAATAAAACAGATTTAAATTTCTGTCCGATCCAAACTAGCTCGATCAGACTGGTAAAAATTTAAACCTGTACTGTTTGTTTCTTAAACAGTCCATTAAACTCAAACGTTTATCGTTTTCAATATGAATTGAAACCTGACAAATGAACATAGTTGCTGAAAAATATTAAAATATGACCTATCTATGAACAATTGGTACTGAAATGTTTATATATGTATGTCAATATTTAATAATAAACCTATAACTAGAGTTCGGTAAGCGCGGCTCTTAACAGGGTCGTACTCAGCTCACTCTCTCTGATTTAATTGTTGACTAGACTTTGTTCAAGGTGGCAATTTGACTATTTCATGCAATTTTAAGGATGATACAACATTTTTGCCTTCTCCCGAATCTCACTTGGTGCAACTTTTGCGATGAATGTGTTATGATTAGACACTGGTTTCTTATTGGTGCAAAAATTGTGTATGACACGACAATATAAATACTTACTTCCAATTATTATTGCGATAAAAATAAAGTAAAGTATGATTCTCGCTGGTACATGTGAGGAATCACCGCTAAATATATTAATATACTGAGTTAGGCGTAATTAAGTGTAAATATTTTTACCAAAACAGCCTGAGGTTAAAACAAAACAATTAACTAAACTTCAGTACTAAATTATTTTCTTAAAAAAATACGGAGCTTAAAATTATAAATATATTGGTCAATATATTGGAACTACGACATTTAGCACAGTCTGTGGTATGTCGCAATGTGACTTGGCCAAATCCTTGATCGAATGATTGGATCGAAAACTGGTAAAATATATTTTAAATTAATGATAAGCTAATATTGCTTTGAAAAATGGTCGAAGGAAAGTCTTTCCTCTGTTTTTTTTTCACTTATCGGGTATTTTGCCACTCGTGAATAAGATTTTTAAAATATTACGAAATAATCCTTTGCGATAGAAGGATCAGTCAAAGGTTATTTTTTAGGAAATTAGTTTTATATAACCCAAAATCTCATTGAAAAAATTTTTGATAGGTCAAGAGGTTTCCCAACTCGATGTTTATTGTATTCACAATGCTATAAATACATTTTTCTTTTAATTTTGAACATCATTACTAGAGTGTTGTCTGAAAAACTGTTCTAATGTCAAATTTGTTACCTGTTCCCTTTAATTTTTCCGATAATACAAGAATATATGAAATTTTTATTGTGAAATTTCTCTTTGTTATTTGACAGAATTTGTTTCACTTTCAATGTGAAAATGTTTAAAATCTCTTTCAACAAAATTCCCAGGGTATTGATTATTGATCCGTATATTTTTGTATGAATGTAATTACATCAAAAAATTACATTTTTTTAAATTAAAATATCTAGAAAGGGCAATGCATTATTGTTTTCAATTTCCAAAACTGTTCTATCTAACTGTTGATTCCTTGTTATTAATATTTAATTCCTCAATGATAAAGGCTAAACAGAAAAAAAATATTATACAGGGCGTCCCGAAATTCATGCAACAAAATTTGGTCACAGATTCTTAAGACAAATTTAGGGGACCCGTATTTTTTACTTTTGCCAAGTGGCCCCCTCTTTGGGAGTTACAGCCCCCTGAAGTCCGCCCCTAAGAATAATCTTTTGTGTATATCTCAGAACCCTGTTGTATGAGAATCACTAAATTTGGTACACAGGGGTTTTATGACGTGGAATCTGATGGTGCTATGTTTTTTGGCAGGGAACCCCCTTAAGACAATTTTTTGTGGGCTCCCTTGTATTTGGAGCCAAAAAATTTGGTAGCATATTTAAATTTCTTAAAAATTATTAGTCCACTAGAAAGCCATTAAATCTAGAAACTTTTTGTCTCTTTACTTACTTATTTCGTAAAACGCAATGTTTTCGAGAAAAATGTCAAAATGTGATCGAATGCATATCGTGATTCGCCATTTTCCTCAAAAACATTGCGTTTTACGAAACAAATATCAAGAGACAAAAAAGTTTCTAAATTCAATGGCTTTTTAGCTGACTAATAATTTAAAAAAAAAATCAAATTTGCGACCAAATTTTTCTGGTTCCAAACACAAGGGGGCCCACGAAAAATTGCCTTAAGGGAGTTTCTCGCCAAAAAGTGTAGCACTGTGAGATTTCACATATCATAAAACCCCTGTGTACCAAATTTAGTGATTCTCGTACAACATGGTTTTGAGATATAAAAAAGACTTCTTAGGGGCAGATTTAGGGGGCTGTAACTCCGAAAGAGGGAGCCAGTTGGCAAAAAGAAAAAATACGTCCCCTAAATTTATCTTAAGAATCTATGACCAAATTTTGTTGCATGAATTTCGGGACACCCTGTATATTTCCACCAGATGGTTGTATTTTCTTAATTTTCTTTTTAATTTTATTCACATGTGGCAAGTACCAAATAAATAAAGAAAACCATGCCACAAATAAGAAAGTTCAGACAATTCCTCACCTCTGCTTATAATTTTCGTCCCTGTACAAGTCGACCAAGATCCCGTCTTGGTTCTTGCCTGCGTAGGGCTCCACCATTTCCAGTACAGTGGGGCAGCAATCCACTACGTCCCTAGTGTGGTTGTGGGTCTCGAACCTTAGAAGCGCCTGGTTATCGCGGGGGCCGCGATACATCCCTGGGGAACTCAGTGGAATGCTGTGATCGTAATAGGCCTCGTATCTGAAACACGATTTTTTAGTTGGAGAGGATTGGCCCGTCGCGTCGGTAAAAGAGGCTTGTTATGGGAGTGGTTGGGAAATGTGGTAGTAAGAAAGAGAAAAAGTTACCTGCCCTCGTGGAAATGTCGCTTGCGAGAATTCGGCCTAAAACGGGAACCGTGCAGGGTGTCGTTAAAGTGTTCGTAACAGCTGACTTGAAGAACAACGGCGGCTAAGCCAAGCACCTGTAAAAAAATTAGATTTGTTACTTTTCATCACTACGGTTTAAACTTTTAAAGAAATTTATGCCGCTCGCGAAAAAAGTTGTTCCAGGTTAGAATTCCTATTTGTAGGAATTAGAATTCCTATTTGTGTTTCTTTCAAAATTTTATAAAAATTTGATAATATTAAAAGAAAAATGAATCCATCTTGAAAAATTAGTCGGAAACGTATTTTTTACTTTTTGAAGACCTTCAAAGACAACAAACTTATCTAAAGTGGAATTTAACATTTCTACATGGTCACTGTATACTTTACTGAAAATTTAGGCTTCAATTAGCGATTTGACAAATTTTTCAAGAGGAATTATTATTTTTTTTTTAATTCAAAAATCGCATTTCAAATATATTGATATAAACTTTGTTTTTGTTGTTTCAATAGAAACACCCTGCGATATAAAATACATTTTTTTTCTGATTTCATCGATATACCTAAATATGTGAGCCATTGTCTTTTGGCATTTGCAGGATATAACAATTAAATAATGAAATGTGTATATTACATATTCTATTACATTTAGGTAGTCACGTAGATCGAGAAATGAAAATCCATAACAAACTGTAAGATCTGTCACCTTAAAATTTTAATTACCGTATTATTTAACTTTAGAAATTACAAAGATATTTCTTAAATGCAATAAAAATTATATAAAAACGAAATAGTTAAAGAGCGTATTTTATTTAATTTATAACAGGTTTTTTTTATCTAGCTGAAAAACAATATGCTGTAAACTATCTATATAGAAGATGTCCGTTTAGTTTTATTCAAAAAGTCCTGAAAAAATATAAAATAAAACTGGTTATAGACATAAACTGTTCCAAAAATTGTCTGAACCACAAACTGAATAAACATAGAGAAGGGACGACATCGGTACATGCCTGTAATAAAGTAATAGAATCTCTATTCATGAAACAAAATTTAAACGAACAACGGTATTTGGAACTGTTTAGGAACGATCTTATAGACCAAATTGATAATACCCATAAATTTAATATGATGGGACTGCGCCCTATAATGTAAAAAGATTCCTGGATATTATTACCTTTAATGGTTAGGAAAGTATGAAGTATTCGATGGCCAGCAAACAGCCCTGATTTGACAAATCCAGATACATTTTGGGGATGTTTGAAGGATAATGTCTACAAGAATCAACCTGCATGATATTCAACGACGAATTTAGAAGCAATTAATAACATTAATCAAATCTTGAATTAATTGAAAATTGGTTAAATAATTTGAAAAAAGATATTGCTTATGTGGGAACAAACAAGGAAGACAATCCGGACAATTTTTATAATACATAATTATGTAAATGCTGATAATTAGTATATTAGATAATTATACTAGTAAACTATTTTTAATGTAAACGAGGTGTTCCTTAGGCAAAAATAAAGTTTATACCAATATCTGTGGAATGCGATGCTCGCTCTTTCTTTAAAAAATTAAATTTCTTGTGAAAAATTAGTCCAAAAACGCATATTTTACTATTTCAATACCTCCAAAAGCAACACAGTTATAGTGGAATATTACATTTTCATTTGATGACCCTGTACAAATAATTTTATATTGTGCCCATTATTCGAAACGTAACTAACAACCTCTATAAACTATTGATTTCACAATTCGGCTACGACATAAAAATTCTGTAATAATATTAAAGTAGAATTTTAGGTTAAATATTCATCTGTGTATTTTTCGGCTGACCTTTTTTAAGGGGGATTTTTGGTAAGATAAAATTAAGATGGTTCAACTTCGATAGCGTTTTATAAAAACTCGATTATCTCATATTTTACAAACGACAATTAATATCAAATAAGTAGTTTTTATATGTAGTATTAAGGCGGAGGCACTGATAACGCATAGGAAATAATCAAACCGTGTAGTACACTCGACAATATGATATAAATTTAATTACTTGGAATTGTGGATTTAAGTCTTTCTTTGAATATTTTATTCATGTCAGATATGACATTTGAACAAAGAAATAACAGTTTATTATTATTTAATTCTTGTCTTGAACCAATGAAACTGAAAATAGGCGATAATTTTGCACTAGTTCAAATTTTCGACAATTTCTATTAAAATTAACGTTTATAGGTATTATAGCTGAAGGCTATTCCCCCGACGAGTGTTCATCTGCTTGTTTTTATAACATACACGTTCTATACTATCATTTTTTTAATATGATTTTCATACCTGTTTATACGCGTTGCTGAAGTTTTGTTTCAGCTGAACTTGCTTTTAAATCATTTATTGTTATAAACAAAAGTATACAAACAATTTCATCTTTGGTATTATTAATTTTTTTTGTCATTTTTCAACGCGGGGGTGGCTCTATTTAATCTCAATGTCAACCCTTTAAAAACATGAAAAACCTTTATTTTCCTTTTAACATGTATTTGTTAAAACTCTAAAAAATTTGAAAGATAAAGATGTGGTGGTTGTAAGAATATTGCATCTTAAAAAATGCACATTAATTCTCATTTGATGCGACTAATTTTAAAAGACGTAAGAGATAAATACGTTGTTTTAATCAAAATAAGTACTTAATAAAAAAAAATCCCCAACAACGGCAACGACGTCAGTGTGATGTAAAAATAATTTTCGAAAGTAAATTCCTACCACATTATCTCTTATTGAGTGTAGTACATGAAAATGGATACTAGGAAAAACAAGATACATTTATTTACATTTTCAAGACGTTATGCTATTTTGGACAACGTACGTGTAAAACCAGCTATAAAGAATATCCCAGCAAACAAATTCTAGGAATTATTTTGGTTATTAATATAAAAAATTACTTAATTTTGCGTACTACTTTTTCATCGGAAACTGTTTACGTAGTTCATCGAATCAATATAAAAAAATATCTTCGCGAAACCATAAATCTGAAATTGATTGTTAATGGCCTATTGATTTCGAGTTTACGCTCGAGTGTTAAATTTTTTGGATCCCGAACGTTGACTGAAGAAATTACCGTGTTTGCTCTGTAAGGCTACCACAATCGGCACCGCAAACAGACTTAAACTAACCAATTAGCACCCCTCAGTGGGAAAACCGACCGGGCAGTCCGATTCAGAAGAGCGGGACGGTTTCACTCTCGAAAAGGTGCTGGGAAAATGTTTCCTTGTTGACGGATAGTGACATCAATAGCCGGGTGTTAATTGCCAAGTTACGTGGATCAAAATAAATTACCTAAATTATTTTGTTTGTGTACGGAATACTTGGAACTGCGATGGGTATTGTTATTGGTATTAGTTTTTTTTTTAATAATTCTATTGGAGAATTTCTTGACACAAACGGGCAATAAATCTCCTATGCAATGTGTTAGATGTTTGACTCCCATTACTTGAGCAGGGGACAGATAAAGCATAAATGATCAAAAAAGTTGTATATTTTATATCTACCTATAGTTAATGTTAGCAGTTTTTGAAATATGTCCAGTTATAATATTGGGGAATTTTATCACAACTTGGCAACATTGCATGTTGAATAACTTGGCCTAACACTAGGACAGCTATCTATAGTAGGATCATATTCGATGCAAAGTAATAAATCATTGCGTGTCAAGGAATCCAATGCAGTACGCTTTTAAGGGTTTTAGAAATTGAATAATTTCTTTATACATTATGAAGGAACGAGGGGATCAGTTCACGTCTGGCACCCTTTATTCTCATAAACTATTTATTTTAAATATAATTTATTATAAATCCAATTTGTTTTTTAAATTCCACATATGTATTAAATTTTACCTTTGTACGCACCACTGTTGTTTACTTGTTTTTTGGAGGTGCTTTCTGATTTACAACCAAGCTCGCCAGGTTGGTATTTGACGTATAACCGACCACTTCGTACACTCTATGCACCTGGGCGACTACAGCTACTACCAGAACACAGTGCGTATGCAGCTGTATTTCAGATTTAACATTGAATTCATTTTAAATTTGAAAAGGTTCATCTTACGCCTCCTAAAAATGATGACACGATTTTCCTTTGATAAAAGACGAACAACTTTTTGCTCTACTTTACTCCTACTATAGGGTTTAAATACAAATTTATTTGTTTTATTTTTGAATTGATGGGTACCTAGCAGAAAGATGAATTTCTTATTATGAAGATCCGGCCTCACAAGTCTTCTTCTGTTTCTATTTCGGTAGTATACAGGGTGTCCCTAAATTAGTACAACAAAATTTGGTCACAGATTCTTAAGATAAATTTACCTCGTATTTTTTATTTTTGCCAAGTGGCCCCCTCTTTCGGAGTTACAGCCCCCTGAAATCCGACCCTAAGAATAGTCTTTTTTTATATCTTAGAACTCTGTTGTACGAGAATCACTAAATTTGGTACACAGGTTTTATGACGTGGACTCTGATAGTGATACTCAAATATGCTAAACTTTTTAAAAAGCAAAGCGAAAACTTCGAAAAAAATATATTTATTAATATAACTGGTTATTTTAGTTATCGTAAATATAAATAAATGGAAAGAAGTCATGAGTATTCTGTGCACAGTTATGTCACGATTCCTTAATTCACTTTTGTCAAGTTTTTTCTCGAAATAACTGGGTTTAGGACCTCCTTCTTATAAATCTTTTTATGTATACCGTCCTATACTAAAACTATAGCTGTCAAACTACCAACACACTGTATAAGACGAGGATTAAACTCCAATAAATCATATATGTCATATTAATTCTGTAATAATTACAGACGATGATTTTTCTGTATCGTTTCGACGTACCTTGAATTAATTTTTTCTCAGGTGACAGGTATTATTAAAATTGAGATATTGTGGGGGCTATAACTCAACCGCCTTCTGCGATTCGAGTAAAGTGTAGGTGAAGATTTACAGTCATATTATAGACGAAATAATATGCATTACAGCTTTTTCCATAAATAAGACTTATGCCGTTTCTGTTTACGTCGCGATGATTGACACTTTTACTTATATGGAATAGTGGGTGTTG